TGCCCAGGCTCATGGCGGCGGCGGGGCGCGGCGGGCTCGGCCCTCAGCGTGCCTGGCCTGCCAGCCGCCCCGCTGCCATGGCAACTGTGCCGCTGTCGGGAGCCCCGGATGTGGATACCCGTGCGCATGCGTGCGGACCTGGGGCATGCGCGCTCCCGAGGGTGATGGGCCAGGGAACCGAGTTGCAAAATTTGCAGAGGGCAGCTCCACCTTCTCTGTCTCTCTCCCCCCCATCTGTTTCATTACTCTCTAGCCCCCTCCCTCTGTCCCTCCCTCCCTCTCTTTTCTCTTGTGGCTCATGTACCGCTTTCAGGGCCTGCAGCATGCTATACAGCTCTCCCTCTGATCCCCCTTCAGCTGCAACTCCAGAAGCCAGAACTTCAGCAGAAAGTGGCTGCAATTCTGTAACTTCCGGAGCATCTGTGTGCAGGGGACCTGAGGGTCACCATGCCACAACATGGTCACTGTTAGTGATAGAACCTCTTTAAGTTTTTAAAAAAGGTTTTGTGTACACGAGTGTGCCTTCATGTATGTAGCTACACTATGTGTGTGCAGTGCCTGAGGGGGCCAGAAGAGAACGTTGGATCCCTTGAAACTGGAGCTACAGATGGTTGTTAGCCACCATGTGGATGCTGGGAAATGAAAGAGGTCCTCTGCAAGAGCAGCCAGGGCTCTTCACTGCTGAGCCACCTCTCCAGCTCCTATTTTTGTTATGATTTTAATTTTCTTTTATGTGAGTAGTCTTTTGTTTCGTTTCTTGGAGATGGGGTCTTACTTACTACATAGCCCCGGCTAGCCTGGAACTTATGTAGACTAGGTTGGCCTCAAACTCACAGAGACCCATCTACCTCTGCCTCCAGAGTGCTAGGTGGCATGTGCCACCACACCTGGCAAAATAATTTTATTTTATGTGTTTAGACTGTAGGTATGTAAATGCACTCATGTCATGCAATGCCTGTGGAGACTGGAAGAGGGTGCTAGGTCTCTAGGAACTGGAGTTACAGATGTGTTAGCTGCCATGTGAGTACTGGAAACTGAACCCTGGTCCTCTGCAAGAGCAGCCAGTGCTCTTAACTGCTGAGCCATCTCTGCAGCCTTATAGGCATCACTTTAAATGTTTGTTTTTTCTTTAAGCTGAGATGTTGGGGGCCTGGATGTCTCTCTAATCGACAGAAATTAGACCTTGAAGAAAGGACTGTGGCAAGCTTTTAATCCCTGCACTTGAGAGGCAGGTGAATCTGAGGCCAGCCTGGTAACCCAGTTCCAGGCTAGCCAGTGCCATTTAATGAGACCCTGTCTGAAAAACACAGAAAAAACAAACAAAAACACCCCAAAACAAAACAAAAAAAAGGACTATCAACCAAGGAGCCACCAGGACTACCCTTCTGCCAGCACAAAGTGCTGTAAGCCCTCAGCTGACTTTGCCATCAAGTCTCTTCAATCCTCCAGGACTCTGTTCCCAGACCTGAGGGAGAGCACTTCCCCTTTTGGCCCAGCAGAAGGCCTGTGACTGATGTTAACAGAATCTTCATTTGTATGGGAGGATGGCACTGTGATTCTGCACTCTTGTCAAACAAGGGCTGTGTGTGTGTGTGTGTGTGTGTGTGTGTGTGTGTGGAGGTGCGCATGTGTGTAGAGGTCAGAGGACAATCTCAGATGTTCCTCAGGTACTGTCCATGTTGTTTTGTTTTTTCGTTTCTGAGACAAAGTCTATCCTGGAACCCCCCAAGGAGACTAGGCTGGCTGGCCAGCGAGCCCCAAGACGACTCCTGCTTCTGCCTTCCCAGTTCTGGGATTACAAGTGTACACCAACGCTGGCTTTAAATTTTTTAAAAATATTATTGAAGACAGGCATGGTGGCACACACCTGTAGTCCCAGCACTTGGGAGGCAGAGGCAGGCGGATCTTTGTGAGTTCAAAGCCAGCCTGGTCTACACAGTGAGTTCC